AATAATAAAAAAATAAAACCATATACTAGCTGCAAATGTTGTCGGAGGGAGAGAGTGAGGGGGAGGAGGGAGGGGGAGAAAATTGCCATCGTCGTATTGCACTGTGATCTTATGTACACGGAGCGTGATGGGCGCTGAGCAGTGCAATATGACAGCGGCTGGGGCTGGGGGCTTGGTATCGAAAAGCAATTTCGGCTCAACTGCCTATCGTTTTAATTTCTTTTCCCTGTAGCCTGCAATTGGTACACACATTTCTGTGTAGCTTGCCCCGAGGCTGTCAGCCAGGCCGAGGAGAGTGGGCCACCGGAGCGGAAGCGTTTATGTTGAGCTTTTTGCCCCTTTTTTATTTCATAGCTATAATACACTTATTATTTTCCCATTTTATGTTTTCAATTTTCGGGGTGGGGTGGAGGGGGTGAGTTTTAAGATGAATTTGTCTTGTTTGAACTGGGTCGGCCTGCCCATGCGCCCTGCTGCCGCAAACCTGTGCTCTAGTTGCCCCTTATTTCTCTCTCCCTTTCAGGCTGCGCGAGCGTGTTGTGTGTTTTTCTCTCAGCCGTGAAATTTTGGTGAAGGCAGCCAGCTCTGAGCGAGCTCTGAGATGTTTGCGAAATACGTGAAAGCGCAACGCAATGTTTAGAAGCTCACATGCGGCGTTTCCATTCCCTCTCCGTATGCCGCCAACTCCACTCTTCTTGCTCCTCTACTCCCATGCTCTTGCACCCTTACGGCCTCGAATGGTATCCCCCCTTTTCTCTTTTAACAGAACTCTCCTCCCACCCCCCAAATTCGCCGGCTGGCGCTCTCTTGAACCCCAACTGTTATATTTCCCGCGATAAAGCGCTCGTTGTTTCTGTCTCTTGTTGCAGGCTGCGCTCCTTTAAACCCCTGCAATATTTCCTGTGATAACGCGCTCTTTTCTCTCTGTTGTTGCAGGCGAGTGGCTGGCGCAGGTTGGAGGCGGCGTGCCCGGGCAACAAAGGCTGCAGATTTTAAGGTAAGAGAGAAGACTGGGCTGCCTTTCACCGGTCGCAGTTAGGCTTCGTTTCGCACTCAGTTTCACGGTGCGGAGGCCCTTCTCCCCCGCGAATGCTCAAAGGTAAGGAGAGGCTTCAACTTCAGCGTACCTTAAAAAATCTGCGATTATGTATTTGATCTAAAGAATATTTCAGTAAAAACTTCCAAGTTTATAATCTTACTTAATTTTTTAAATCAAAAAATCAACAAATTTTCTCGGGGTTGAGGGCTTTGCTTTTGATAGTGGGCGCTGCACCCAAACGAGCCCCCTACCCCTTTCAAGGCCTCGACCCCTCGGACGGATGGGCGCTTGACTTCCGGTGAGGGCCGGCACGTGACGGCGTCTAGCAGCGCGATGCATGCCGGAAGTGCTTCGCAACCATCATTCATTCACTATCGTCCCTTTTCACGTTAGCAGCGTCCATCTTTCTCCTATAACAAAACGCGCAGTTTAAAATTCGCAAAGCAAAGAGATCGCACAGTGTTTCATAACTTGGCGCCCATAACAATGTGTGTTTAATGGCTGGATTGAATTTCGTCTCGCTGCTGCTGCTACCAATCTAAAATTAATAATTTTGCATCATCGTTGCCCAAAAATGAAAACTGGTTTGTTTGTGGCTGGCACTGAAGGCTCACCCAGCTCTATTTGAGTTGTAGTCGAATCGGTACGAGAGACTTCGAACGAGTCTGAGAAAAACCAGAAAAACGCGTGACATCTGCGTCACCCCCCCCACCCCCCTTTCTCTCGAACATGCCCCAAGCCAACGCCCACGAGACGTCGTCGCTCTCGCTATGATAGGTCCTCTGCTAGCCGGGTGGGTGGGGGTGGGGTGCCCCGCTCCTATTCATAGACCGTGTAGTTGCAGCTGCAGCTCGCGTCCGGTTCTGTCTTATGGCGCCTGCCACGCGTCAAAGGCAGTAAGGACTCGCAAACGCAGACCTCCGTTACCACCTTTTACCTATTTCTGCACCGCGCTGTCGTCCCTTTCCCCTCGCGTTATAATCCTTTGTCCCGAGTCCACCCTCCTTGGCGAATAATAGCAGTGTGTCTCATCTGTTTAAACAGTAAATGTTATGGCTGCTCAACCGTCCCCGGGGCTCTCACTGCCTGAGTGCGGGTGGTGGGTGTTGGGAGGCATGTCGGGGTGTGGTCGGGGCTGGTGGGGTGTGGGAACAGCGCGTTAAACTTCCTGGACACATCAGGAGGGAGGGGGTGAGGGGGCTGTACTAACGCAGTTGTAGTTGGACCACCAAAGCCCCGTCCCGCCCCACCACGCCCCAAACCTCTGCAATAACAAACAACAGCGTGTCCGTGCGTCCCCTGCTTCTGAGGCTAGACGAGTCGCAGATTTGGACCGAGTATCACCCGCCCCACTAGTTCGTGTCAGCGGGAAGGAAGGGGGGTGGAGACTACTTGTGGTTCTGGCTGATGCTGAAGCGAAACGTTTTGGACGCCTCCCGCCCAGGTCGACGGCTTTATAGAGGAGAGAAAAATTCTGTAAGTTCAGCCCAATTACGCCCTATTAAGGGCAACGGTGGTGTGAGTTCAGCTACACCACTTTAAGCACAACTTTAACTAGTAGTACTAGAGAGACTTACAGGTATACATACAGACGACGGGTCGGGGTTCGTCACTGAACGCCTGAAGCAGCCCCCTACCACCAACTCAATCTATCTCAGCCTGCGCCTCCTTCTTGTAGTGTAGCTTTCTAAAGTGAGTGTGAGGTGATGCGGTGGGCAAGGGTTGTGTCCGTCCGACTCGCTCCACCCCCCCTCCTTCCCCACACAGTGCCTCGCCGCCGCCGCCGCGTCACTTTACGCCCGAGTGTCACCCCAACAACGTGAGGAGCAGATGCGAAGCCCGCGTGACGCTCGCTGGGGTTGGGGCAGGCCCCTCTTTCCCTTCTCTCTCCCTCTGGTGCCCCTCTCCACTACTCTGTATCTCAGTTCACTGTACTTCTGTCTCTGCACAGCTTGTATCCTTTCTCCTTCTTTCCATTACTGTAATCATGGCTCTCACTACACCGCGGCACTAATTTATGTCCATGGTTACTCTCTCTCTCTCTCTCTCTCTCTCTCTCTCTCTCTCTCTCTCTCTCTCTCTCCCCGCGCGTTGCTTTCATCTTAAGGCCATGAGTGCGAGAGGGAGAAAGAAATCCGAGGGGCTGCGCCGGCTGCGCTCGTAACACGGCGCGAGTGGTGAGCGGGTGTGAGTGAGAGACTGCTTTAGCGCCACGGTATCCACATGAGGGTGGCGTTATCCGAGTGTTTCTCTCCCCCCCCTCTCTCGCTCTCTCCCCCCCCCCTGCCCTCTCTCTCTCGTTCTCTCTCTCTGCGCTCCCCCAAGCCGCTCCGGTCTCTGGCAATGTTCGCTTGGCTGAACGTATCAGGTTGCCCTCCGAAGCGGCGACGTACTCACCCCCTCCTCTTTCTGCACCTTTCGTCTCTCTCACTTCCAGTCTCTCTCTCACTCTTACTTTTCCCTCTACAGTGGGCAGTGGTGTGTGGTGTCCCCTCCTGTCTTGGAATCGGGATTTGTCAGAGTGAGAGAGAGAGAGAGAGAGAGAGAGAGAGAGAGAGAGAGGGAGGGAGAGAGAGAGAGAGAGAGGGAGAAAGAGAAAGAGAAAGAGAGGAAGGGAGAGGAGCAGAAGGTGCAGTTTAACTGGATCTAAAGAGACTTGCGGGTAAACTGTTCTGCGTTTGTTTCCCAATGCGGTCGGTGCCCTTGTGCGGGTGTCCTCCTCGAGCCCAAGCAGCAGGGTGCCGTCTGCGGCCCGAGAGAGCTCGTTGCCAGCAGCACCGAAAGTGAGGAACAACGGGACGAAGGGTGCTTGATGCGCCACTCCTGCACCTGCACGACCTCAGCGGCCGAAAACCAAAGTGCTCACAGTTGAAGATTTCAAACTGCAAAAGTCTCTAATATTTTGCACCTTTGCGGCTCGGCTCTTTGGTGCCTTTTGCAGAGGGGGGGAGGCGACGAGGAGGACTTATTGAAGAAGCGAACGCGCCTGCGGGCCGCTGCTGTGCCGCGTCGTCGGCCGGGTCCTTGAGCATTATCCTCATGAAGTGCGTCCTCCGGTGCGGTTGGCGGTCTGCTGTCGCGTTACGCCGCACGGAGTCGTGGCGGAGCGGGGCGGGGCGGGGCGGGTAAACGCCGTGGTGGTGCGGCTGCTGACACAAATTGGAAGCGAGTTGTCGATAGTTGCCGCCCGCCCTGCTCATGTTCTCCGCCCCGCCGCCGCTGCAGTGCACTGGCCTGCTGGCTGGCGGTGGCTCCAGCAGCAGCAGCAGCAGCAGCAGCAGCAGCAGCAGCAGCAGCGGCGGCGGTGCCCAACAAAACTCGTAAAGCAAGAGTTCATCCGACATTTATGACATGACAGTCGCGGCGGCGAGAGGAAAGGAGCAGAAATGTGCGCTCGCGCGATGTGGGCGGCTCTGTGTGTGCGCCGCGTGGAGTGGAGCCGGCCGCGTCGTCACGTTAAAAAGCCAGCGGTCGCGGCGGGGCGGGGCAGGGCCGGGTGGGGCGCGGCTACGGCTGGGTGGGGCGAGGTGAGGCAGGGCTAGGGCTGGGTGTGGCGGGGTAAGGTAAGGCAGGGCAGGGGCTGGGTGGGACGGGGCAGCAGACCCACCCGGCGCGCAGCGGAGCGCCCGGTAGGTAGGCACGCCCGTTGGACACGCGTGCCGCAGGGTTGCCTACGCGTGCGCCTGCCACTTGCATAGCTCCCAACCGCTCGAAGTTGTCATTCGCTTTCCTCTCTCCCTCTCTCCCCCTCTCTCTCTCTCTCTCTCTCTCTCTCTCTCTCTCTCTCTCTCTCTCTCTCTCTCCCCCCACACACTCTCACACAAACGGGC